TCAGTTTTTATAGAATTGTAATGCTTAATGAAATTATTTTTAAAAAGAAAACCTTGTAATACGTCATTAACATGACAAAGGGGGGGGGGCAGAGGTGTGCCTTCATTTTTTTCAAAAATATCACATATTATGTTGTATCATTATTATTACTGCTTTCTCCCTTTTTTTGGAATAGTGTATGAAAGAGAAAATATTTGCAAAAGTGAAAGGAAAATTTTGCTTGCCAGGAATGTGAAAGAAGCCTAACCTTTAAACTGGTCTTGCCACCAGAGATTATGAATACAATAATCCAGTAATATTGAAATACTATGCAAATAAAGAACTGAGAAATGATATCAGTATTAGCACACCTTTCTGAAAAACAAGTTCTAGCTTTGGAGAGATGGCTCTATCTAACTTTCACAGACTTTGAACTCTGCTCTAGAAAGAGCAGGGGTGGGCTGCTACGGGTTTGCTCGGGTTCAGGAGAACCTGTAGCTAATGTTATGGCCGGTTCGGAGAACCTCCAAACCCCACCATGCCCTTCCCCCATCAACCCCCCCCCCCAGGAGTCTCCACGCGGCCCATTTTGCATGCGAGGTCAGTGCAGGGCCCACATGGAGGCTCAGGGAGGGGGGAAATGGGCCTCCCGCTGTGGTGCAGGAGGTTCAGCATGGTCATGCCCACCCAGCAACCAAGCAGAGAATCCATTGCTGAAATTTTTGAAGCCCACCCCTGAGAAAGAGCCAACAGTGTATTAGATGTACTGGTTGATACACATCCAGATGTATTAAGTAGAAAAATGCTTATGAAAGCAAGAAAAGCATTTAAGAAGATGAGGAGGAATTAGGAAGGATAAAACCTGAGAGCTTCAGCCAAGGATTCAATCTGTGACAGGCCTTGAGGGAGGAAAGAGAGTTGAAGTGATCAGAAGGAAAATTCTGGTTCTGCTTCTTCGTTTGGAACACAAAGATTTTGAAGCAACAGAAATGTGTGAGCACACACACACATCTTAGGTACAGAATGACTACCACCAAGTGTTGAAACAGAAATTATGAGATTCTACATGTAACTCACCGAGAGGATTCTTGCTTGTAGATATCAATTATGTTTTCCACCAAAAGGTTGCGTTGCAGGCCATAAACTCCATGCCGGTCCAGCACCACTTCATGCCTACAGGATGGGCACCGGAATCGGCCTCCTGAGGACACTGAAGTAGATCCACGAGATTGCCACAAGGGGTTGGAGGCCTGGCAAGGAGGCGATGGGAAAGTTGAGATTTTTTCTGAGGTTCAGTGCTACTTACTTACCCATTTGTTAGGAATGTGGTTCTTCTGGGAATCAGTAATAGAAACCCAGGAAGGCATTTGAACACCAATGACATTCCTCTGTCCCAGGACAGGTCATGCAAATAGGTCTTCTACCAGCTACTATTACAAGAGTTGGCAACTGCAGAGATCACTGCTATAGGCAGACATTGGCAAATGATTATTCCCAGCCATCCCATGTCCAACTTGCCAGAGTAACTCACCATATGCATAGCATAGTAACTCCTTCTCCAACTCACATGTGAGTTCTAGGTTATATTCAGACAGCTGGATGATGATTTAGTGACTAAGAAGTGCAACAGTTAAATGGGACAACCTTACTCCTTCAATAGGGCTCTTAAAAGTTTGGATAAAATGAGGGCACTTGAAGAGAGAGGCCCTCTAAATAATAAATAAACATCTAAATTAGATTACATCCCATCTCCCCCCTGAGGGCAAATTGCTCCCTTCTTTGGTCTCCATCTTGATCACTTTAATTTTAGCTAAATTTGAATTTTAAGATATCTATCCATTTATTCATTTCAATGTTTTATATGGCATTTTTATTCAATGTTGGTAAGCTGCCTAAAATCATCTTTGTTGAGATGGGCAGCATGTAAAATAGATAGATAGATAGATAGATAGATAGATAGATAGATAGATAGATAGATAGATAGATAGATAGA